CAAGCACGCACGCACGCACACACACCACAGTATCCACATACTATCAGATTTATGTGCTCGTTTGTCACTCTTATTCTATCAAGAAAAAAACCTAATAGTTACGCTACTACAGCCCAGCTGCAGCCAACTTCAATCAAAGAAGGCTACAGATGCCTGTTATTATACCGGCTCTCCTTAAAACAATGCGAGAGCGAGAACGTAAACTAAAGGTCGTGTCCGTTGCTAAGAAACGACGACGCCGTTTCGCGTCTCGAATTCTCCCTTCTTATTTTTATTTTATGCATTCTGCGCAGCGTTTCTGTGTGCTGTTTATTGAGACATTAAGATCGTTGGCGTGTAATTTAACTTTATAGTGGGAAGTAGTTTTGTTTTTCTCAAAATCATCATAAACACTCACGTCTGTCACCCAGAGGGGTAGTTAGGGACTACGGATGTCTATTTGGTTTATTCCATTTTTCTACCAAATGTTCCACTGCTGCGACAAAGTGGACTCTTTAAAATGTGTTCGCCTATCTTTTCCTCACTAATCGTTTCTCGGTAAGAAAAATCACACGTTTATAATAAACCTCGACCACTTTTTGCGACTAGGGCTGGCATAAACAAATTCTATGTTTTTGAAGTGTTTTTCATGTGTGATTTAGGCTATATTTGATCCAAAAACTTGAAGATTTTTTTTCATGATGTCATTAAATTTATAAAATAAGTGGTTTTTGAAGATAATCTTAATTCTTAATAAAGTCACAGTAATAGATCCCACCAGAGTCATAAATAAATAGTAAAATAATCTTAAATGGCAACATGAGGGTGTCATGAGTTGACGCTTAGAGTGAAGTTATCTAACCCAATCCTCTTATCCCACACTCATAGTACATATTTGTGAATAACTTAACTGTTGATTTTAAGCTATGCAGTTCAAAAATACTGCATAATTTATAACTTAAATTAAAAATTAAAAAAACCCCCGAAACAAAAAAACTGATGATCTTCAAACGCCTGAACCAATTTCGATAAAACATGTCTAAAAACCACCGCTTGTAAACCTGCTTTTAAATTAAAAAAAAACCGCACCCAAATCGGTTCACCCGTTTAGGTGCTACGGCACTACAGACATACAGACACACATAGCGGTCAACCTTATAACATTCTTATATTATTTTCTTCGGGGCTTAAAAACACAGATATGCTATATACTTTTACGTTTTTACCGCCTTGACCGACACTTTTTTCACAAAGAACATAACAGCTTGTATAGCTTATTATAAAATGGTTAATGAATGGCCAAAATGTAGAACATTCCAAAAAAGAGCTTATTAGTAGTTACTGTAAAATAGTTTCGCATATGTTTTTGTTTTGTTGTTCTTCCGTTTCCTAACCTAACCTGTACTTAGAGTATTGTTGGTGGAATAAATATGGAAATAAATGTGTGAATATTAGTAGAAATACAATTTAAGAACTCTACACGTGTATAAGTGACAAAGTCTTATATGTATACTGCTAGACGGGCATTACGGTACTGATACATTGCGTATTAAAGTTACGATCAGTTCTCCGTAACTTCCTTAGTCGACTGCGAGCGGGCGAGAAGACTATTGTCTTTGTTTTGTAAACCGCAAACGTTATTTTCGACGATCTAACACAGATTTTGTTTAATGTTAATACGAAAACGCTATATAGACGCAACACACACACGCAAGCACGTGCAAAGAAATACACACACACACACACACGCACGCACGCACGCACGCACGCACGCTCGCTCGCCCCCACACACACACACACACACACACACACACACACACACACATGTTGAAAGCTCATTTCATCATCATCATCATCATTACAGCCCTTTACAAGTCACTGCTGAACATAGGCCTCCCCCAAGGTATGCCACAAAGCACTCGCAAAGCTCATTTAATAAGAGAAAAAATAAAGTAATAGAGTTTGTTGATAATGGACAGCAAAGAAAGCCAGAGTAGGCAGATCATGCCCAAGTATTCATGATTCGTGGGCTAACGCACAATAAAAAGTCTTTCATTTTCATCAAGTGTAACAAAATGACCAGAATTAGCAAATCAAATGAAAGAGATAATAACAGAGATACAACAAGCAGGATTAATAGTGGTAGCTACAGTATGCGACCAAGGCGCAAATAATAGACAGGTTATAAAATTTTTGCACACACGCACGCATGCACGTACGCATTCACGCACACACACACGACTACTATCCATGCAACATTCCTTGATTTTGTTTACTGCAGAAAAAAACAATCCAAAATCCAGATATTAATAAATAGTACACAAAGGAAACACTGCTTCTAAGATACAGTTATTAAACATTCCATAATTGTTAAAAATAAAAAATAATTATTATATTATATTCACATGTTAGCGTAATTTTATAGTATATTTCAGATAAGTACGTAATTTTATTACATATTAACCTAAAACAGTGACCATCGGTAAATAAAAACAACTGCGTGGCATATTTACCATGCCAGCTACCTACGCGTACACTCGCCCGCGCGATTTATAGCTGTGGAACAATTTTTATTCCGAATTGTCGGTCTAGTAGTTACATAGAAATCTTTGGTAACGTATTTACAACAAATGCCAAAATAGCTATTTTGGCATTTATTGTATTATACATTTGTATTATACGATATTTATTAAAAAGCATTATACGTATTTACAAAAAATGCCAAAATAGCTATTTTTAATTAAATATTTTATTAAATAAAAAGTGTTGTCTATGGTAAGACTTTCACAATATATTCATATCAATATCAAAATATTTGGTGTACCTTGATTGAGAGGTTAAAAACCTTTTCTTATATTTGTTCTATTTAAACAAATCTTTACTTAAAGTGTTTTTGTATATTATGTTAAAGGGCAATCAGTGGTCAATAAACCAATAACCTGTACCTGTATATACTTAAGTCTAATTTATTCATATTTCAGCTATAACAATGTACTTATGTGTAAAATTATGTATTTCTTCATGACACTACATCAACTATTAAAAAATATAAGAGATAGTTATTTTTGAAAGATGTTTTTGCTTTTTGAGGAGCATTAAGAAAGAATGAAGTTAATTACCCCTTGGGCCATGTGTATCGTTCATTCGGGATAAACAGCCGTGTATTAACTACACGAATATACTGGTATTTTTTATTAAATTCAACAACTTTTTGTTATGTTTTAAAAATCCATATGGCATCATTGAATAAAGTTTAATGAGTAGGTTAAACAAATGTACAGCAACCCTATTCCGAAGTTATGTAATATAATATGTAGATTGTAGTGAGTTAGAAGATGCACCTGTGAATGACAATAAAATGTCTCTAATCTGGTTTTTGTTTTATTAATTCACTCCACATAGCATTTTAGTAATGACTCCTTTTTATCATCATCATCATTACAGATCATTACAAGTCTACTGCTGAACGTAGGCACACTCTTTCGCATCTATTACCAGATCGTCACTACCTCAAGTGAGGGTCAGCTAACTTTCGCTTACTAATGTGAGGCTGCCACTCAACAACCTTTCTTCCCATCGCTTGTCGGTTTTTCGAAAATTTGTCACAAATTTTATGCTGTTCAATTTTTATAATAGATGTTAGCATCATTGGAGCAGTAGAAACCGAAATAATCACGAAAAACTGTTTTTTTTTACTTTTGACCTTGAATAACTTACGACGCAGACACGAGATTTTATTAGACTTTTGAGACAACTTTAAGAACGCCAAAATGAAGGCATATACAACAATTTAGCTTATTATCTCTCATTTCGAGGTTGATTGCTAACTTGACTGGACTATAGTGACTTTATCTTCGACGAATTGAATGTGAATGGTATACTCGCCAGTGATGTTAATACTGTATTTACAGTTTTAAAAGCGTCTTTCACACAGCGGTGAAGAGTTTCGGTGATATAACAGCAACCTGTCTTACACATCTCTGCAGTTGGATAGATTTCGTAATCGTATAGCCGTTGTAGCCCTACTGTACAGACACTTAAGCACTTCGATATACCGACAGTCGAATTAGCTCCGCTGACAATAGACCGCCCGCCTCTATTTAATTTTTACGGAATCAAAGGTTTTCTAAAAATTAACATATGTGAGGCAAATTGGCAGATTTTCTTTTGTTTAAAGAGATGAAGTCTTCTGCCTTCTGTGCAATTTGCCGAAGATAATTTTTTTTATAAACGAATTTAAAGTCCAACTGACGGTAAGTGGCTTCCTGCAGTCCATAGATGCCTGCAGCGAACTTCAAACAAAGAAGACGACAGGTTCGTAGCCACCTTTGAGGACTAAGATTTTGTGTTACACAGCATATACTGGCTCTCAGACTTTAACAAACTTCAACTTTCAGACTTTAACACACCAGTGCAAGAACTAATATTTGACGGCAGAAATACGACTTAGAAGGAGGAGTCCCACCACCTTAGTATGTACGAATATGGTACTATAGCCTTTTCGGGAACTGGCTTTTTCGGGATGCTGGAAATCCTCAAGTCCACCTGATTTTAGGTCAAGGGGCTGCAGAGTAGTGCTCAAGGTTTCAGCATATTTAGCCCTCGTGTGAGTATCTTGGAGTCGTTCAAGGTTTAGACTTATCTGTTTAGATCTTTCCGATCTACAAGGACGTGGAAGACGAAGATTTAATTTAATTACGACAAGCCGGTGATCAGTCCAACAGTGAGCACCACGCATGATACGGGTGACTTGGATGCTTCGATGTGGGGTGCATCCACGTTGCCTTGTACTTGGCAAGAAATCTGAACATAGTATTTGTAATTGCAAGATCTAATTGTGAACAAAGACTAAGCAACAGTTGGCCGCTGCTATTTATTTTACCGACACCATGTCTGCCCAGAACTTTAGGCCAGGCGTCATAATCTCGTTCTACTCGGGCATTAAAGTCTCCCAAGAGAAGGATTTGCTCTCTTGGACGGATACGATCTATGCACCGCGTCAACTCTTCGTAGAATTTTTCCTAAATTTCATCAGACTTGTCTAGCGTTGGGGCATCGATACTGATGAAATTAGGATAGTTTTTACGTTCCATGTAAAGGAGCAATGTGGTTGTAATACGGTCCGAGACGTGTACAGGGCACTCTTGTAGTTGAGCAGCAAGGTAGTTCTTGACAGCAAAGCCTACACCAGACCTTCGCGGCTCTGGGGAAACGAGTTCTTTCCAAAAGAAAGTACACCCTCCGCCGTGTTCTACCAGCTCTTCTTCATCGGAGAGGTGTGTTTCGCTGAGTGAAGCCACATCAATATTATAACAACTTATTTCCCGAGCTAAAATGGCAGTTTTTCGCTCAGGGCAAGCATTTTCTTCGCGGTCAAGAGTTGTGCGCACATTCCACGCGCCAAATGTCATTGATTTTGATAAATTAAATTTTCCATTATTATTTTCTGTGGCGTCGACCGCGAATTTGTGATGCAGAGGCAGCCGCAGTTGCTACCATCCTAAAGGGTTGGAGTGAGCATTTGTTTAGGGCACCTTTTCTAGCCCCCTCCTAGGCTGAACGAGGAAAGCAGTGCATCCCTGAATAGAACTGCTTTGTCACCTTGGGTGTTGCCGAATCCGCTCTGTCACCCCGATGCAGAGTAGAAGCGAACACGATGTACACTACACCCCCAAGACCGCCTACGAAGTCAGACAAAATCCAACGAGCATCAGGTGCAGCCTCTCTAACTCCTTCCATCACCGTTGGACATTGCTTTAGATCGGAGTCCTATTTGGAAGCAGGTCAATTGCGTAGGAGATATTAACGTGCACAAGTATACGTGTGGACATATATGCACATACTCGTCTTTGTCCCCCTGGACCCAGTGGAACGGAGAACGTTATGACCGGAGAGGGACTCGGACAGATGGATGGTTATTTAAACTATAAAACAGGAGGAACTACGCCAGTATATTATGTCTATGCTATGGGAGCAACAATCCTTCGACGGTCAAGTTCCCGCCAAAACACGAACATCTATATAAATCACAGTCGCGGATAAATAAATATGTACCAACCACAAACTAATAATAAGTACTTTTTTTCTTTTTTTTTGCGCCCGAAGCAATTAAAGGGCTACCCTATACGTAGGGAGGCGGAAAATGCATTACGCATACCACGATAGCCGGTCTATCGTGGTTATGAGGGGCTCACTGTCCTACCGGGGACCCTAAGTGATACCCTCTAAAAACCGCCTTTAGGGACAGGCAACCGGCTGATTAAGCTCTATTGTGCCTTATCATGAGCGACCCTCTTTTGGGAAAAGAGGGCGCAGGCGGCTAAGTGCCGCTGAGGGAGTGCCTACGAAGGCAAATTAATGTTAGATATTACAATAATTTTATTTAATTAGAGTTGGCCTGAGCCGCCAGGAGACAGTTCAGGTCGTTTGAAAGTTTATTAGGCGGGTCCGAGAGAGAGTTTCTCGGCCTGCGGACACGATAGCGGGAGGGGGGTGGGGCTGCATAAGAAGCTGCCTCACGAATTAAATGGTTTGGGTGCGACTCTGAGGCTTTGAAGAAGTTCTCAGAGAGTTTTTTAAAAAATTGTTGAATTGTTGGGAGCTCTAAGTCCCGATGAAGGTCGGCATTACGAACGTACCACGGTGCGTTCGCAGCTCGACGACAGAAGAGGTTCTGAACTATTTGGAGTTCATTTAAAATGTTAGGGTTTGCGTGGGCAAAGACGGGGCCCGCGTAGGACATGACTGGTCGTATACAGACCTTGTAAAGGGTACGCTTGTTTCGAAGGGACATTTTACTGTGTCGGCCCAACATACTGTTGAGCCTACTCAGATAAAACCGTGCGTGACGGGTTACTCTTTTGACGTGGGGCTTGAAAGTGAGCCCTGTGTCTAGAGTGACACCTAAATATTTGGCGGACGTATGCCAGGGGACAGGGGTCCCTAGCATACGTATTGGTGGAGTGTTTTTGAGACGGCGTCGTTTATAATCGAAGTGAACGGCGGAGCTCTTCTCCGGGTTCACATCGATGCGCCATTTTTTGAACCAAGCACCTAGGTCATCAACTGACTTTTGGATCTTGTTCCGTATGAAGGGTAGTGAGACACCTTTGCAGTAGATGGCAGTGTCGTCTGCGAAGAGGGAGAGTTGAACACCTTTCGACGGGATGGGAATGTCGTTGGTGAACAGGATGTACAGCAGAGGAGCAAGTACTGAGCCCTGAGGGACACCAGCCTTGATAGTTCGCTGTGAAGAAAGCGTGCCTTCGTGTCTAAAACGAAAGGTACGATGTTTTAAACAGGAGGCCACGAGACGAACTAGACGATCGGGGAGACCTATTTTATAGAGCTTGTAGATGAGGCCTGTGTGCCAGACTCTATCGAAAGCTTTGGCTATATCGAAAAAGACCGCGATGGTCTTATGACGACGAGGATAGAAACCGCTGAGGATATATTCCACAATGCGGTGAACTTGTTGGGGACATGAGTGTTTGGCTCGGAAACCGAATTGATGGGGAATGATAAGAGGGTCGCCGTCTGTGGGAAACAGATAGCGCCTCATACGCGTTTGGATGACTCTTTCGAAGAGCTTGCCCATTGCCTTGAGGAGGCTAATGGGGCGATGGCTGGAGGGGGAGGTTGAGAGGCTTGCCTGGCTTGGGAATTCCAATCACAGTAGCCTCTTTCCACGTAGTGGGGAAATAACTGAGGTTGAAGCAGGCGTTGAAGATAATAGATAAAAAGGTTAACACCTGCTCAGGAAAGTGTTTTAGGGCTTGGTTGGAGATGCCATCCGCGCCCGGAGCCTTTTTGGGCTTAAGTCCTTTGATGAGGGATGAAATCTCATCATTGGACACAGAGATAGGTTCGGAGGCCGTAGGGGGTGAGTTCCGGCGGCGGACCTCATCCTCCACTGCCTGGACGTATAATAATTACTAGCCACTGACTTCTATATATACAAGTACGCTGTATATATAGAGGTCAGTGGTATTAGCGCAGTAGCAAGCTACTATGAAATAGGTTTGTAGAAAATATATCGATGATATTTTTTTACGATATCTGTTATTCTTCTATTTCTATTGCTCTGTTTGTGTCGTACTTATTCTGTTTTAGTTTATAAGGACCTCCGTTAACTCATTTGAGTAATTAATTAATTTTAATTAATTAATGTCCACCAGACCGACCACGGCGGCCTGCCTCAACGGAGGCTAGCCATCGGCGCAGGACAGGATTATAGTGCCCAAGTGTATGCGCAATCACGGGTGCACTATCTGTTCCCTCACTCTCATAATCCGATGGGACGGTAAACCGACACGACCGGAGAGAGATCAGGCTTAGTACTCTTATTAGTTTATGGATCAGGCGCGGGACCAACGGCTTTACGCACATTCCGAATCACGGGGGTGAGCAACTCTTGACGGAAAAACTCAATTATTAATTTTTTGGCCCGACCCGGGATTCGAATCCAGGACCTCATGATCAACAGTCGCTCTACTATAACCACTAGACCAACGAGACAGTCACTCATTTGATAATATATATTTAAAGGCCGTACTACACACGTTCCATCTTATTATAGGTCCGCCAAGCAGAGTAGAATAAATTTAAGCAAATCGGAAACCGACTAGGTCGCGATGCTTGACGCCTTAACGCAACCACCAGCATGCTAATGCGATTCAAATATTAATAGGACTGATCTGGTGTCATATTGTGAGTCATAGCTGTCAATTCCAACCAGAGAGGGAGGGAGAGTAAAACAGATATTTTCGAAGTAATATATATTTATATATATATATATTAGTAAAAAATACAAGTAGTATAGGTACATATATGGCGAGGATGGAAAAACAGCTGAGCTTCTGAAAACGGATGGAAGATTAGTTCCTACCTACTTCAATTTCATCGTGGGACCGATGTTCTTGTTCTTCAAGAAAGGCTACAACGCTTATTAAAGAACTATACAAGTCGATTTCTCTTCGAAGGGCGGGGTTTAGTCTACACCTAACTTTTTGACATTATCAGTAGGAATAGATTAACATCTATTCTGCTCTTCTGTTCAATGAGCAGTTTGGCGAATGGCTCTGGGCGAGAGCGCAGGTCGTGTTGAACCCCAGGGCAAGTCTGAGGAGTTCTTCCTTCACGTGGTTGCTGCCTATTATTTGGTCTTGTTCAATAGGAAACAGACAGAACAGAACCCTTTATCCTGTCCTAACTCAATCCAAGGGGTCAAGGGTGCCGTGCCGTGCCGAATTCCTTTGTCCAAGCCTCCCCCAGTTCTAAAGGCGAAAAAACGCAGTCAGTTTGAAAAAGAGTCCTCCAAAGACCAGCCCAGGAAGTCTGTAAAGCTGGCAACGGGGAAGAAGAAGCTCAGCTTCAGTGTCTTAGCTGGCTCCGCGCGTGTAGGAATTTGCAATTCGAATCCTATAAATGTGGAGCAGATGCGGCTGGTCCACCGGACACTAACGCAGGCCATCGCTAAGATCTAAGACTATCGTAAACTATCCTAATTTCATCAGTGACTATGGATGAAATTTAGGATAAATTCTACGTAGAGTTGACGTGGTGCATAGATCGTATCCGTCCAAGAGAGCAAATCTTTCTCTTAGGCGACGTTAATGCCCGAGTAGGCCGAGATTATGACGCCTGACCTAAAGTTCTGGGCAGACATTGTGTCGGTAAAATAAATAGCAGCGGCCGACTGTTGCTTAGTCTTTGTGCACAATTAGATCTTGCAATTACAAATACTATGTTCAGATTTCTTGCCAAGTAAAAGGCAACGTGGATGCACCCCACATCGAAGCATTGGCACCTTACCGATTACGCTATCGTGCGTCAAAAAGGCATCTCTCAAGTCCAAGTCACCCGTGTCATGCGTGGTGCTCACTGTTGGACTAATCACCGGCTTGTCGTAATTAAATTAAATCTTCGTCTTCCACGTCCTTGTAGATCGGAAAGATCTAAACAGATAAGTCTGAACCTTGAACGACTCCAAGATACTAACATGAGGGCTAAATATGCCGAAACCTTGAGCACTGCCCTGCAGCCCCTTGACCTAAAATCACGTGAAATCAATATTGTCTGAGAGTCTCTATCTTCTCATATTCTCGACACTGCTAAATCCACTTTGGGTTTGAGAATCCGAAAACATGAGGACTGGTTTGATGAGAATGATGGGGTACTTACGGACGCTATTGATAAACACCGTAGGCTCCTAAAGCAGCACAGCAGAACTCATCAGAGTGGAGGTATTATGGAGTTGCGTCATAGTGATCTGCAGCTGCGTAAACTCGCACTACAAGGATAAGTGGTGGCAGGAGAAGGCATAGATTTAGTATAAACTCCATATATAGGAGTCTATATTAAATTTATCGACGTATTCAACTCGGCTGGGCAGCGTTCGGGAAATTACGAC